GTCCACGATGTCAATAGTGGTGTTATTAAGTACAAAAGGTCGTATAGTACTTTTATATGACAAAACTTTAGGTTTTGATAGGTCATGCTATTAGACGATAACTGCAATGATCATTAAACAAACAAAACTGAAATGTAATTTTAGTTTTGATAAAAGTTAATTTTAAGTGCTCTTAGGGTAAATATTGGTTTTTTAAATCATTTTAAAAGGAATTACTAAGAAACGCATAAAAAATAATCGTATACAGGGTGGCGCACCTCATTCGCCTCGGTTGATTATACGAAAACGGAAAGATGTAGAAACAAAATATTTTATGGGTATATGTGGGGAGGCAATATACACAATTTAAAATTATTTTAAAATATACAGGATGATTCAGAACTAAGATTTATACCAAAGTTATCATTTTTTATTGAACGCCCGATATTTTATTTCATTTTTGGATTCTTAGGGCCAAAAAAGGTATTTATTATAAATGTTAAATATGTTTATGTTAAAGAAAAAGTCCTTTTTGGTATTTCCGTGATAAGTATTTATTAAACAAAAATCAAGTATATGGTTTAAAAGCTTTTAGTTGACTGAATTACAGTTGGCAACAACCGTCGCAACAGAGAGTCGATTAACATAATGCTGGCTAAGCAATATACAAGGCTATCGCCAGATTTCGCAGTATTAAGATTAAAATGTACGTTATAAACGGTTGGTCCAAATTTCAGATACTCTATTATTATTATTGTTATAATTCTAACACTCCCACTTATTTGAAATTTGTCTCAACCAAATCTTAAGAACAAGCAAAACAGATAAATCAAGGTAATGTGCAATTTACGATAACATAAAATCATAATACATTTTACACTTTTACAATGTTGACAAGCAGGCGATTAAAAATTGCCTTTGTAAGCGGCTTCGTTAAAATATCCGCTAGTTGTTCACTTGAGCACACATAACTGACGGAAATATTGCCTTTTTCGCACTCATCCCGCACAAAACACAGTTTCACATCCATATGTTTTGTCCTGCTGTGGAGTTGATGAGCCTGAGTTAACTTTATGGCTGATTGGTTGTCCACAAGCATCTTCATCGTTGATGTAGAAACTCCAAGTTCCAGTAGTAGGGATTTAAGCCACAAAGCTTCTTTAACGCCAAGGGCTAATGCAATGTACTCGGCCTCGGTGGTTGATTGGGCTACAACCGATTGCTTCTGGCTTTTCCATGTAATCGGGGCATTCGCAAGCATGAAGATGTATCCACTAATTGATTTTCTTGTATCTACACAACCAGCGTAGTCGGCGTCTGTATAACCGATAGCTTCAATGCTTTGGATTCTCGAATAAACAATCTTATAGTTCATTCTTTGTTTAAGATAACGGAAAATCCGTTTAACTGCTTGCCAATGTTCGTCTTTCCAATTATTTAGAAATCTACTCACTTGGTTGACAGCAAAACATATGTCCGGTCTGCTGACGGTTGCAAGAAAAATTAAAGATCCAACGGTCTCACGATAAGGTACTTTTAAATTACAAACAAAGTCATTAGAAATGGCCGTCAAACGTATACCCGGTTCAGCTGGAATCGACAACGATTTTGCTGAGCTCATGTTAAATTTTTCGAGCATCCGCGAAACATAATGTTTTTGATGGATCGCGATAGTTCCTTTTTCAATGTCTTGTTCAATCTGATCCAAACCAACAAACTGCAAATTTTTATTGTCCATATTTACAGTAATTCAAATACTGAATTTGATCCTGGCTGATTGTCGACAACAAAATAACTTGAGCTCTGGAGTTATTTGTATCCCATTTAGTCCACGTATCTGAAGTTGTGTCGTCCGGTTCTTTTTCAGTCCCGTCGACTATCTTCATAAGCTTCTCAACTTTCAGTAAAATCTGGATACTAAATTTCCACAGTTGAAAGTTGGAGCCATCAAACTTTGGTATGTTTCCACAATCGATTTTTGTTACACTGGCCATTGCGACACTCTGTATATACGACTCGAACGTAGTTAGAAATCACAAGCCCGAGACTTACTGCACGACTCGAACGCGCGACTACTTTACACGAAAACGCGACGAAAGGTTCACACCAGGGCTAACGTACCTGGACCCATAACCTGTTAAAGAAAAAGTCCTTTTTGGTATTTCCGTGATAAGTATTTATTAAACAAAAATCAAGTATATGGTTTAAAAGCTTTTAGTTGACTGAATTACAGTTGGCAACAACCGTCGCAACAGAGAGTCGATTAACATAATGCTGGCTAAGCAGTATACAAGGCTATCGCCAGACTTCGCAGTATTAAGATTAAAATGTACGTTATAAACGGTTGGTCCAAATTTCAGATACCCTATTATTATTATTGTTATAATTCTAACAGTTTAAAATCTTTGGGTTTTGAGATATTTAAATATATTTAAATATGCATGCTACAATAAAATAGATAATCAACACAATGTACATTACTTTTCAGAATTAATTCTTGTGATGAGTTTAAAGATAGATAAATAGCTTTACTGAAAAATGTTATTGTTTCCTTAAATTTATACAGGGGGTACCAAAAATTTCTGATCTATTTTAAATATTTGTTTTACATAAAAACTTTGTTAAATCAAATACAACACCCTGTATTTTTAAAATAAATCGAAGCAGATTTAAATGCTCTTTCAAACTATATTAGGGTTTCCTATACCTATCTAGCTTAGATCTTTGAACAAAAAGCTATTTTTCAATAAAATGGCAATCAGGATGGCTGGTGTCGCCATGGCAATATTCTAGTGACAGTTAGTAACTATTTTCAAAATCGACTTTAGTATATGGACATTATTATTTAGATTTATAACAGTTTACTTAAATTTACCCACAATAGTTAGGCTCAAAGATATCCAAATAGGAATCTTCCTGATAAGCGTTCCTTTGAAAAACTACTTGTCCTATTTCACAGAGAACCTGTCGTTGGAAATGAAGAAAATGGATTTTCCGTAATTGGCTCTTTTATAGAAAATCCATATCTACAAGCAGGGTTCGGAAAACTACATGTTACTTTTAAAAACTACATAAACTACATTACATGTAGTTAATGTAGTTTATGTAGAGAGTGTAGTTTATGTAACCTATGTATGTAACTTTCAAATGTCAAAGGTTTGAGGTGAGGTTATAATAAGTTGAAGCTTTAAAAACACATAATGTATTTAAGAAAACAGAAGAAATATGGTTTTAAATATAATATTTACATCATATTATCTCTATTACACCTCATACAAAGGAAAATTATTCATAATATCAATACATAGTTTATTAACGTAGTTTTCATATAGTTAATGAACGGGAAAAGACGTAGTTTTTGAAGAAAAACTACACGTAGTTAATCAGGTAAATTACGTCTTAGTTAATTACTTCCGAACCCTGTCTACAAGTCATCGGAAAATAAATCAAAGAACTACTTCTTCGTTTTTCTTGATAGAATAGTAAATACCTACATATATTTAATAAATATTTTTTATTAAACTATTGTAGTTAAATTAAATAAGAGTAAACTGCTATACATTCAAATAAAGTCCCTAAACTAATTTCAATTCTGAAAATAGCTACTAAGTCTTACTAGAAACTAGAAATCAGCTCTCTTGGTTGTCATTTTATTGAAAAAATCACTTTTTATGTATAGAAAACCCCTCGGGAAACCCTAATATAATTTGAAAGAGCATTTGAATCTTCTTCAATTCATTTAAAAAAATACAGGGCGTTGTATTTAAAATAATGAAGTTTTAATGTAAAATAAATAATGAGGTGGGTGCCACCCTGTATATAAAAATAATAATATTCTTTTAATTTTATAGTGTCTAAAAAATCTCTATAAAAGGTAAAAATAACTAAAGGAAAAATATCCTTGAATCGCATGCATTAAATAGAGTGGAACAAAGGAATGGCATTAAAACCATATCATAATTTTCAATATTATGATTCCATTTTTATTATTTTTCATCACGCGACATGTTTGATGAGAAACCCCTTTTTATAAGCCATAAACAATTCGATCAATATCTTCCATTGCTTATTAGTACATATATAGGTAATAAATTATAACCAAACCAAACTCATTATTAATTTAACACAACAATAATTTGGTTTAAACAAAACAAATACCTATTAAAATTAATTAATTTTTCATTAAATTCCAGAAAGTAGCTAGAACATTATGTATTATTTAAATTTATTTATTTCATTTAATTATAAATAAATTAACATAATATTTATAATTAATTACTGTTTTGTCATCAACTTATATCACAATGTTTTGTAAATTTAACTTCAGTATAAAATGGAACAAAAATTTAAATTATAAATTTTAATTGATGACGTTTTTTGGTTTGAATTTATATTTTATTTCTTTTTTAATTTTATTTTACATTCTTAGAGCTGAATTTTTATCATAGTTATTACATGATTTGTTTTGTCTTTTTTTCCAGTAGAAATTTATTTGTAACTTTATAAATATTTTGGTTTTATTTCGAGTTATATCGATCCAAATATTACACTAAGATCCATTTTATCACACACTAAACCAATGAATACAGAACAACAAACAAAAAATGTAATATACAAAATACCATGTGAATGCGATAAATTTTGAGGAAAAAAATGCGAAAGTTTGAGGCTTTTTGGTTTTACCTTATTAAGTTATTTGGTGGTAATTGTTAATTTTGAAGTTTAACCTGATATATAGGTAATGTCATTTTAACAGAACGTCAACGGTTTTTTGTAGACGTATCTGTTTAAAAAAAAAACGAGAACAGTTTAACAAAGTTCGATTTAAATTTAACTAGAAGTAAGCAAATAAATAACAAAAATAAAAAACAAAAGACTAATAAAGAAAATAGGAAAAACCTAAAACACAATAAAAAAGGTATTATTATTTACGTTTTAAGTGTATCAACTAAAAGGAAAGGCAAATGAAAGATATTTTTGAAAAACTACTAAAATAACAAAAACTCAAAACTAATATTTACCTTGTGACGAAAAATCGCAGGTATTCCAAAATAAAAACGAAAACAAAATTCCAAAAAACGCACTTTCACCAAAAACAGAGGTCCGTAATCGATAGACACTTAACACGCAATAGTTTACAGTAAAAAATACTCAATCTTCCTTCTCTACCAACAAGATTTAAAAAAAAAAAATTACGCGCGCGGAACGACAAAATTACAATCTTCGACCATAGATTACGTGGAGAGCGTTATAACCTCGGGTCGGTGCTGCCAACGACGCGCTCGCAGATCTACTGATCTGTCCGTCGTGTGCCTCTTTTCCCAAACCCGACCAATGGGAGAGCGGGTCTACCCCCACCACCGTCGATTATCGGCGCGAAGAAGGTGGATTTTCGGATAGGATCGGCGGATGGGATCCGATAATTTGGTCCACGGCAGCATCGGAGCAGGTTGTGTCGGCGCTCACATGTTCCAACATACGCTGTAATTGTTCTCGTTCTTATTGAAATTTAAAACTCATTTTTTAAAATTTTGACATTTAAGTTGACACATTTCATATTCTTCTGACGTTTTGAAAGTTGTTTCATTTCGCAAATAGTTACAAGACATTTTTCTTTTCGTTAACTAGTAACTAGTGATGATATATGTATTATTATATGATTCGCCAATAGTCCCTTTAAGAAACAATTTTTTAAGTCATTTATTACTGCTTCTTCTTGGAATAGTTATCCCTGAGTAAAACAGCTATTCAAGCCTCTTGTGATCCGGATATCCAACTTTCGTAAAATCTTTTTGGTGGCCTTTTAGGTAGTCTGTGTATGTTGGATGATCGCGCCCATTTTGCTATTATGTCATGGCCCATTCTTGTTCTTACCAACCCCACCTTCTTGCTCTTCACGTACCCTCACTTTGTCTTGCATTTCCAATTCCTTTCTGATGTGCTTTCGAATTATATCTTGATTGTTCTTAATACTTTCATTTCATTTGTTCTGGGCATTGATTTGGTTTTTGATGTTTCGGCTGCTGTTTCTCTGACGTAGGTAAGCACTTGTAATGTCTTTAATATGGCTAGGTTGGGCAAATCACTGTTAGAAGCAATAAAATTTAAATAAGAACTTTCAATGTCATACTCTTTTAATTACTCGTTTAAAGGTACGAGAAAAATAATCAGCATTATTATTCATTGATTCAACATACTCAAATTATTAATACATTAACAAAATTTGAAAGTATTAAAGTATTAAGTATTAAAGAAAGTTGCAATCTGTTAGTGGCAAGTGGAGGAATCCCTTTTTTTGCCAAATAAAGTTACTATTCATGGCACTGGTTTTAATAGTGAATTTCCTACCATAAAGATATTGATAAAACTTTTTAACACCAAAAATAATTGCTAACGCCTCTTTTTCAACTTGAGAATATTTTGGCTGACAACTTGACAAAGGATGGAAAGGATGCAAAGCTAATAGGCTTTTCCTCATTATTAATTACACGTGAAACCATGGCACCAACACCATAATAAGAGCTTTCAACTATCAATTTCACTGATAATTCTGGATTATAATGCTCCAAAACAGGAGCAGCACTAATAATATTTTTAACTTTATTATATTTCCTAGTACATTCATCGGACAAATTAAATTGCATGCTTTTCTTAAGCAAATTATACAAAGGTTGAAGTACTGAGGCAGCATTAGTTATAAATTTATTGTAAAAATTAATGAAGCCCAAAAATGACCTAAGTTGTATTATAGTTTCAGGTAATGGAGCTTCGACAATCGCTTTAACTTTACCTTTACTTGTTTTAAGTCCATATTACACAAGTCTTGTATATGCGAATTTTGAGCTATTGTTAGTCAGATAGGATCAGATAGTTGGTAGTTATCTAATCCTAGCTGGTAGTATCTCAAAAGAAAAAAACATCACAGTAACAGCACTGGCCACAAAATAAAATTTTCTTGTTTTTTGAAGTGAAACTTTTTTACTCTCAAAATTAAAACTACGTCGAATACTTAATACGCATCAGATTCAGAAGTCACGTGACGTGGCGATATTTCTTTACTAAATATATTATGGTAAATTCACACAAGTTTTGTGAATATGTCTTCTCCTTCTTCTAGGTGCCTTCTCTGTTGATGTGGCGATGAATATGGCATATGACTCTCTGTCCAGACCTTGGTGAATAAGGGTATTTCCGTCGGTGTGGGCCCAATCTCGTATGTTATATAACCATGATTTCTTTTTCCTCCCTATGCTACGTTTTCCATCGATTTTTCCTTTTATTAATGAATATTTTACTGAATATTAATTACCAATGAATATAATATGTCTAGGGACATGTAATTTTACTACAAGATTGTATTTTTGATTTAAAAAAATTAAATTTTAAACTCACAAAACTCATTGTGAAAATAATATCGTTTAGTAATATTCATTTAATATTAATTAACTGTTTTGCAAAATTACATTTTTTTATGAAACTATGCAAGAATATCTTATTTTACAAGTTTTTTATTGAAAATACTCTAATGTATCAATATTTTTTTTGTAAAATTACTTATATTTTTTTCAGTGAGAGGTAAATAACTTAATTTCAATCAGCCTTCCACTCCTTTATCACTACATTGTAACGTTTTTAGTTCGTTACATGTCTTTTTTACATATAATATATGATGTCTGGCCTATCATCACCGAATTCCCTCTCGTTCAGGCCGGATAGATTATTTGACGCGTAATTTTTACGTTCCCTGGTCGCCAACCCTGTGATCGTTCGACACAACCCTGTTACTATTCTGTGAAGGCGCGCGCTGTCAACTTCGCTTCTGTCAACTCTCCGTGCTTAACCTCACTTTGTTTTGACGCTCTGTTTTATCCCAGCTTTTAGAAATGGTGATTATTTAAATCTTGCTGTATAATCTGAATCAGCTGCTATTTCAAAGCAACAGGTAAAGATGAGATATTATCCTTTTAGATTCGATATTATTATTGAATATTTTTAGGGTAGAGTTACGGATGTCCCAACTTGTATTTGTATTTGGCTGGCACGTTGGCGTCCCTTTGCTTTTGTCCTCCAGAATGTCATTTGGAAGAAAGGACAGATTGTTTATTATTTATTGAGCCCTCGGAAGTATTTCGAGGTAGGTTCATTTTGTTTATTAGACGGTGTTTGATTTTAAACAAGAGTTTCGTGTTCTTAGGGTCTTACGGACGGACATTGTCTTACGGACAAGTGTCCAAGGTATGGACTATTTTTCAAGGTCCTAGTAGTGTTCTCTTGTGCCACTATCTTATGGACGGATGTCCCATGGACAAGTGTCCCCAGTAGGATTGATTTGTCTTACACATAGAGTGCCCCAGCGTGGATGTGGCTTGAGCCCCGTGCTGCTTCACCCCCATTTCTAAGCCTGGATCGCCGACAGACAGTACAGAGATGCTAGACCTCCTCGCCTGCTACTGTTTGAAGCAGGGTTACATAAAAGAACAGCTAAGTGTATATTTAAGTTCTAGTTTTGCATTTAACATCTAAAATGTTTTCAGTCTTAAACAGTAACGTACATTTTAAACAATAGCGTACAGACTATATTTAGTGGTTAGATTATTAAGGATATTTATGTCGATGCAGTAGTAAAAGTGTGATTTAGATTTTAGATTTCATAATATCACGCATTGTAATAGTATTACTTTCTATAGACATTATTATTACGCTATACTAACAGATGAATAACGAGATAGATTCTAGAATCTACAGGTTGCAACACATCTGATTTAACACCGTATAAATTTAACAATTTAAATAAAGTAATGCTACTTTTCCTATATTTTTATAACGTTACACGCATTGTATTTTCTTTATAGTCTTTTCATAGAACGTATTTAATATTATTTACATATATAGTTTTACTCAACAAGTAACCACTATAATAATTATATTAATTGTACAATGCTATTTACCATCAGAATTCATCACGAATAAATATAGTCATTAGTTTTAAGTATTATACAACGGTGTTTTCTTTCTCTGTACATGCCTGGCGCCCAATATCTATATATCTTTTGTTTATTACTATTGATTAATTTTCTCTCTAGTGAAATACCTTATCCACGACTGCTCTCCGATGAAAAGCGGCCGTTCGCAGTGGTAGTTGTTTAAAAAACGCTATAACATACTCCCATTAACTACTCCACAAACAAGCCAACGCCAGATGGTTTTCGTTCAATTCAATTCCACCAACATACTCCTCCAGAAAGAAATAACAAGGGATTTCTGGTACAGTTCTTTCGCTCGTTCAGTTCCTCGTAACCCAGATGACGGTCGCAAAGTGGCCGAAACAATGGCATCGGGCTCGTTTTAAAAATAAATATTTACTTTTGGCGTATCGTACCGTACGCAGACACGGACAGAGAGGACATGAGAGACAGTTGTCAAAGGGAGAGGAACTTTTCGGTTCCCGAAGGGTTTTTCTGGGGGCAGAATATTATGCAGATGAAAGGATTTTTGCGAGGTGTGTTTGGCGAGCGAAGGGTTGATGGGATAAAACAGGGCGATTTAAAGTGGGTTGGTTTTAAAATTAAAAGGTTTAGAATTATAACATTAAAATCACTTATAATATCACCGAGAATATTACAGGGTAATTTATTATCTCTAAATAAATGAAAAATATTTTTTTGTTCAAATTAGAATTAAGAAAAAATATATTAATCAATTAATAAATTTAATATACAGGGTGGTCCGAACTGTATTCCGGAAACTTCGGCAGCATATTCTACAGATAAAAATATGTAAGAAAGTCCGTATAAATGTATGTCCTAAAATGCCTAGTTTCGAAGATAGAGGGTGGAGAAGTTTCATTTTTATTTCGATTTTTTATTTAAAAAATAAAACGGGTGATTTTTTTCGCTTGGACACGCATAATTTATTTTGCCTTTTTACATATTTTGAAATATTTTAAAAAATCATACAGGGTGTTCCAAAAAGTTGGGTAATTGATTAACCACGATTCTGCTTAAACTGCTTGACGTAAAAAACTTATTTTTGGCAAACAGATTTTTCGAAAGTCAAATTCCAACGAGATGAAACTACCCCTCAAATATTACCAAGTTATATAATAATATCGTCAAATTGTTTTTTTTCATGCTGACATAAATGTGAGAAAATTTTATCCAGTTTGTATGTTAATGGAAATTCTTGCTTTGCTTTATCATCACCATTACAAATGATTAATTCGACGCGAACGAAGTCGCGGGTACACGCTAGTTTTTTTTTGTTTCATAAAATTTTTCGCACGCCATTA